ACCACCCATGCTACTGCCCGAAGTAGCGACCGCATCCAGAAACGCATGGGTGAAACGGCATCTTTAAAAAGACAATCCGTCGTCTTTACAAAGACGCACCCGTCTATTGTACTCTTTTAGAGAAATTGGCTCTTTTAGGGAAATGCTCTTTTATGTGCTGAGACACACAGGGGAAACGGCCATTTGCAGCACGACAGGGGGTAGTGCCGCCTGAAGTGCGCAACCCACTCAACACAGGAATGACCACTGCTGAAGCGCTGTCCGCCAACACAAAAAGCTCCGAAGAGTGCGCTAGACTCGTCACACACGAAGCAGTTTAGTAGGAGCAGAACGATGTTGTCGCTCGGCTCTGAAGCGAAAAGCTGGTATGCGTTGCACCTGCTACCTTTTTATGCTCACGCTGTGATCAGCTCGTTTAGTTTACACTCGAAGTAGATTGGTCTATCGAAGCGATATCCCAATTCGTCAGTCACCGATGTGACTCGGAGTGACCGACTGAAAGGGAACAGTACGTAATGTGATGCATCATGAAATTTAACTCTCAACTCGTTCAATATGCTGTACAGAGCATTGACTTCAACTGAAATTTGATACTCCACGATAACAGAATAATGAAAGACTGGCAGATAGATATAAGACTTAGATTTAAGACTTCTTAAGAAGTCAGAAAGTTCAGGAAAAGATTATGAAAGCCTGACTCATCTTTATTGGGATGAGTCTTGAACTTGGATGTTTTGGACAGCAAAATAATATAAATATCAAAGGGAAGAACGTTATAAAGAGAACATTAAAATTAAATTCAGATTGTTATTGCTATGCATTCTAGATGTTTAAAGGAGTGAAATAGGTAAGGAAAGATGCTAACGAAAAAAGAACAGTTAATAACAGTTTTCTTAGGAATAACAATAGTTCACGTGCTGTTAGGAACAGATTGTAAGATGAAGATTCTCTCTCTGTTTTTTGATCTCCATCAAACAAGTAACCATGAAACTCTTAACGTGTTCGGCAAGCTTAAATATATTAATTGCACATAAAAACTAATTCTATGCAAAACTTCTAATACATGTGATGGACTTAATTTCTATAAATAAAGGAACATTTGAATGTTTACATGTTCATATATATATATATATATATATACACACACTATATATGTCCC